TACCGGCAGAGCGACTAGGAAAAATATCGTATTTTTGCTAATTTTAATGGATTTGAGGAATAAACTACAGTCATAAAGTTATGTAACACCACTCAACGGCGCTGAGATTCTTGCTTGGTTGTTATGCTTGACAATTCGTAGTTTGGAAACAAAAAGAAAAACCTGCTGAAAATGTGCGTTTTCTATGCAGTGGCCGTTGGAAATACTTACTACTGCCGAAAAATAAACCGAAAATACTGCTGCAGTACTGTACCAGTTTTCTTTAAAAGTATAACTAAAGATGGGTTGAATTGAAAAGTTTGGAGAGTTACAGAGGAGAAAATACATAGTTGTCAGTACATTTAGAAAAAAATCTCTGCTTGACGGTAAGTTCTAGTAAAAATATGCAAATAAGTTTTTAAGGCAATAAAATCGTAAGCAGTTTTTGAATACTCAGTTTTTAAGGCAATAAGATCCTAAGAATTTTTTGAATACAGAGTAGGCTCGAATATTCGCGAATTGATTACATCAAAAACATTAGGCATTGCATAAAACAGTTTTCACATTCATTATTTTCAGTATATAAAATACAAACGGCTTAAACACTCAAATATCAGATATTTATTTGCTACCGCGTGTGAACTTAAAAATTCTTAAAGCACGAAGATATTCTAGCTTTAATAAAAATCCGCAAAGTGTCAAGTTCATAGTTCGCAGAGAAATTTTACGAGTTTCCGAATGCTGCAATATTTCTTCAATGAATGCAAAGATAGATGCGGCCCAAAAACAAGAACTGAAGTCGGAAAATTATTCTAAGAATGAAATAACTGTGGTAAAAAATAGTTTTGCGAAATTTAAAAGCCAATTAAAAAAAAAGTAGACTGAAGCCCATAGAATAGCCGATACTCAAGTAGCACACTGGTGTATAACTTGGTATAAATTTGTGAATTTTGGTACAATTAGTCAGATTTATACCAAAATTCGTAAATTTACACCAAGTTATACACCAGTGTGCTACTTGAGTACTTTTATAAAAAATAATCAGGAATGGATTAAATGATCCTTTTCTATACCAAACACGATCAGTCTTCCAGGACGGCCTACCAAACCTTTGGTTGAGTCCAGCGATAGAATGAAGAGACGTAAAACCGAAAATTTACGGAACTGTAGTGATACAGGAGAGTTGACTCTAGCTACTACAATAAAATTACGGTCAGCAGGAATGAGAGATGCATCTGAAGTACTTAAACAAATTACTTCATCACCGAATCGGGCACATAAATATTAAATCGCGCACCAGAAGAGTCAATCAAACTCGAAATCCAACGAGCAGTTATCAATCTTAAAAGCCCTTTCGATGTTTATCGAAGCTAATTTGACATAATTAATTGTGCCCCTTTTAAAAATTACATAAAAAATTTACTTGTTTTCATTATATTTTTAATTCAAACACCTATAATTCAAAAGTTATGCAGCAAATTAGTCCAAATTTTTTTTTGAAGCTTCAAGTATACGTCATTGAATTATATCCAAAAGCAACCAGCTTCATATAGTTTACAACAGTGAAAATAAAGCTAAATAACACAAAGGTTACCTGTTCTTTAGATTTGCCTATATATGATATTCATATTGTTATAATTAAATTAACCTATTATATACGTTGTATTTAATTTTAAATTTAAAAGGTGGCAGCCCTGTTTAAGATAGTTTCAAACTATAACCTTATAAATTAATTTTTAAACAGATGGTAACCCTCCTACACGTTTCTTGGAAATAAAGCCTTTTCAAACCCATTTCGAATGTTACCCACATTTTAGTAATTCATTTAACTTAATGGCATTTAATTTTTAAGCTGGTGGCAACCCTTTTAACTAACTTAGATATAATGCTTCTCCTCACCGATACGAATACGTAGGTCTCAATTTTTCTACAATGGGACCTCGATAACATGGAGTCTATCGATGTCGAACTATAAGCACCTTTTTTCGTTTCGTTTTTTTGGTGGAATACTTGGACATCCTCCCCCTCCATTTACTTGATTTTAAACATTTACAGTTTTAAATATCGTAATACGTCGTTTCTAAGCATTTTGAGTTAAAATTTTCATAAAAATAATTTTGGCCGCCTAAACCGGTCAAATACCCCTATGTGCGGTGATTGTATTTTTATGAGAAGCTATTTTTCATGACAGAAATATACTCGGAGGTTTGCCATTGCCTGCTGAGGGACGACCGCTGTTAAGAAAAAACCTTTTTCTATATTTTTTGCGATGTTGCTTTGACCAGGGTTTGAACCCAGGTGCTGATGAGTGAAAGCGCGCACTGCTTACCACTACGCCACAGCAGTTGTTATGAAACTGAAAGTTATTTTCGAGATAACTAACAACACTCGACAAAAAACGTCAGCCCTCTGGTAGATAATGACCCGCAATATGCCCATAAAATGATTGCTCTTTTATATTAATTTCTTGCGCATATCAAACATTACCGAAAATAAGTCAACTATAATTAAATTATTTTCTTCTTACTTTTACAGTAAAATTTAAGAAAGTTGCAACGTTATGTAAAAACCTTAAGCAAATCGTAAAGTATTTTGTTTGTGTAAAATAATATTACACCCACAAAATACATGGGCAAAAATTACCGATCACCGAGTTACCGCGTACCAAGCTCGGTGGGAAGAACCCTATTACAAATTTGATTGCTCAGAATTAAAAAATCAGTACAAATCAGTACAAATTTAAAAAATTAGGACATTAGCGTACTGATTAAAGGAATGAATAAAATCAGTACGAAAGTTGAAAAAAGTTGGCAACCGTAACCAAGGGCAACAACTATGCCAAGTTTGGCAGAAATTGGTGCAGCGGTTACCAAGATATACACATGTAACCATAAGTGGGCGCGGCTACACCCATTTCCCAAAAATTTATAATAATCTTATTTTTAGTCTGAAAATTATAATTATATATATATAAGTATCAATTTTGAGTGAATTATCTTCAGTAGTTACTAAAATACCGCAGTTTTCGTATTTCTGGAAATTACCGTTATATGGGGAGTGGGCGTGGTTACAGTCCGATTTCGCCCATTTTCAATACCAACCTACCTTGGATAAACGGAAACCTACATACCAAATTTCGTTGAGATATCTCAATTTTTGCTCGAGTTATCGTGTACACGGACGGACGGACAGACGGACAGACGGACAGACAGACAGACATGGCTTAATCGACTTCTCTATTCATGCTGAGCATTTATGTATACATTTCTCTATATCTATCTCGATTCGTTTTGGCTGTTACAAAGAACCGTTATGTGAACAAAATTAATATACCCTTGTGCTCGGGTATAAAAAGTTGGATCGAAAAAGTCTTTACATATAAAAATGAATTGCTGTTCGTGTGTTATCGCATAACTCAAGAACGGCTCAAAGGATTTGCCTTGTGTTTATTTAATTTTGTTTCTCTCTGTCTGCAGAAGATTTGTAAAGAAAAAAATTTAAAAACCGGTGTTGCCAGATATCTGCATATCAAAAAAAAA